ATCCATACAGGGCAATTTTGAATTCAAAATTTTTACTTCTTTTATATTGGTTGTCATTCAAGGCGAGAGAGCCAATTCTGACCTTCTGATGAACCCATAGCTAAAACATAAATCCATACCTTTCCGAAAGGTCAAAAATGAACACAATGCACTGGGTTGAAATTTGGAATCGGTACGCCTATTCGAGATTCTGCGCCAATAATTGCACATTCCAACATGGCAGCATTTCTGGAAAATGTCTTATACTCTTTACAATATTAACAACGAAGTGTTTCGAATAGCAAGCTCAACGAAATAATAAATCTCTTTGTGTCAAAAGATAATTGTTCATTGAATTCTTGTGTTTGCTTGACCAGTTTGCGGTTTGCCCCGAAGACAATTTGAGACTTGATGAGTTTGTCATCGATATTCGATTTTATTGAATTTCTTTCCATCTCTCTCGGTGCTCGAGTTTAATTGTTCCCTTATTCGAATTTGAGAAATAATACTCAAATTTTAGTACTTTTAAATCCAAATATTTCTTTCGTCAAATATCTTTTTCTTTTTATGATCAGGCAACACATTTTTTTAATTTCATTGTCCCTATATCTTTAAAGAATTATTTTCTAAGATTTTTTGGAAAATTGAAATCCGATTAATAGATTTCTCTTAACTGAAACTGGGAAATGATATTAGGATTTGTGCTCTAAGAAAGATTTTGGCGTTACAATTGTATTAAAAATATTTAACTCCTAACATTATAACACATAATCTTTCATTACACTCGTTCTAATCTTGGAGGTCAACTGGACTAGGGAAACAGAATTCATTCTAATACGCAATGCATCATTAATAACGCATTGCCTGCAAGGTTTCCATCATATATATATATATATATATATATATATATATATGTGTGTGTGTGTGTGTGTGTGTGTGTGTGTGTGTGTGTGTGCGTGTGTATATATATGTGTGTGTATGTGTGTGTGTGTGTTTGTGTCTGTGTGTGCATTTAGGCAGCAAATTCTCTAAGGCATATCTGACTGAATAAATTACAGACATTATCTCTGCTAATTTTTAACAAAATCCTTTCGAATAACCTTCCGTGTTAAAGGATGAGAGAAATATGTTATAGCTGTTTAAATTTCTTTTATTTTCATCTCCCAAGTACTTTCGATCTTCTTCCAAGATCATCCTCAGGGTTGCAATGTTGTACAAAGCTATATGTTGTTTATAAGTACAAGTATTTATACAAAGTTCTGCGTTGTTATCCATTACAGTATTTTTTTTTCTTTATGCTTTAAAATATATATGGGGTAAAACGTATAACTACGTGAAAAAAGTTTTCTTGTGACGCGTTTCGTCCTTTATGACATCATCGGACTAAATTTGTTATGTCGGTACCACTACACATGCGCACAGACGAAGGATGCTGGGAATTTAAAATTAAAATGTTTTTTCTTGCTTTTTTTTATATATTATATTGCATATAGATTTCTCTTTTCCTTTCCATCACTGTTGTTAGTAGATACCCCACACTGGGATGATAGAAGTTCCGCCAGGAATAGTGAAACGCTGTAGGAACCAGGGCGCAAATTTACTGCATATGAACTAACATTCAGGGTACTCTCTAGACATTTTCGTCGTAGTGAATTGTTTTCTACTTTGAGCATTTCTTGTGGTAAAATTATGATCAGTCTCGTTATGGTGGGTAAACAACGCCTTTAAAATTCTCAGCATCATTGATTCTTTCTCATGTGTACTCGCACCAACATAACAATTTAGTACAATTAAGACCTAAAGTACGAAACGCGTCACAGCAAAACCTTTTTTCCACTTTGTTATACATTTTCCCCACTATTGTTCTTGTTATATAAAAATATATACTCTTATCTAATATATCTATACATTGTAATTTAAGCAATGAATGATGGGGCGATGTGGAGGGCCATGATCGTTAACATCTTGAGGTTACATAATGATGAATGCAAAGATAACGAAATATGAGTTGTTATCGGTCAAAAACGCAGAAAAATAAAACTGAGTTACCGAGGGAGATTCTCTGGGTGTCGCAAATGAATTCATTGGGTGTCAGTGGAAATTCAGTGGGTCTCAGATCATGATTCACTGGGTATCAGCGGAGAGTTCACGACGTTTCGGCGTAGGATTAACTGGGTGTCAAAGAGGGATTCACAGGGTGTCATCGGATGATCCACAGGCTGTCAGAGAAGAATTCAGTGTGTGTCGGAGAAGGATTCACAAGGTAACGGAGGTTGATTCACCAGCTTTCAGAGAAGAATTCTCCGGGGGTTGGAAATGGAATCACTGGGTGTTGGCGGATAATTCACTGGCGAACAGAGGAGTATTCACAGGCTACCAGAGGATGATTCACAGACTGCGAAAGAAGGATTTAAAAGTGTCAGATGATGTTTTACAGACTATCAGAAAAGGGTTCACTGGATGTCAGAGAGAATTCACTTGGTTTCAGAATAGGATCCACTGAGTATCGGCGGATGATTCACAGATTATCAGAGAAGAATTCACTGGGTGTCGGAGGATGATTCACAGGCTATCAGAGGAGGTTCACTGGATGTCAAAGGGAATCCACTCGGTGCCAAAGTAGGGTTCACTGGGCGTCGGAGCATGATTCAAAGGCTACTGGAAAAGGATTCACAAAGTGTCGGAGGGTGATTACCGGCTATCAGAGATTTGCACTCTGTCAGAGGATGTTTCACAGGCTATCAGATAAGGATTCACTGTGCGTCAGAGAGACTGTGTCAGAGAGAATTTATTTAGGTGTCCGAGTAGTGTTTCCTGGGGGTCGGCTAATGATTTACAGACAATCATAGAAGGATTCACTGTATGTCAGAGGGAATTCACATGCTGTCACTGGTTGTCAACGGAGGGTTTACCAGATTTTGCTGAAGGAGACAGTGGGTGACAGGATAGGATTCGCAATGTGTCATCTAGGAGAAATTAGCCGATGACCTATAAACAAGTGTCTGATTGAATTATAGTTGTATTTCCTTCTTATCGAAATTCAGAAAAAACAAACAAACATGCCGGTGGCCATAGTGTAAAGGAAACGTTGCAATAACATCAGAAAGAAAATTGCAAGAGTTTTAGAGTCAAGAACTGGAATTTACCATTAGTTTTGCTTTGAATTAAATTCTAAACTTTCCAATCCGTAATCTTTCAAATACTTGATTATCTGTTCTTGTTTTTTCCAATACAGATATTTTTTTTAAAAGTGAAGCGATTGGTGGCAGTAACTATATGTTAAATATTACGATGCAATGCGTATTGAACAAAAACCGAATTATTTTCCCATATACATCGCTTCATTTCTAACCCTTTCCGTTTTCTTTATCAACGCCTGTATCTAAAATTTGAATTTCAGTTAGCAAGGCCAATGGAAATTCCAAACGAAATAGACGATTTAAAAATAAAAGCAGGAATTATTAAAATATTGAAACATATAACAATTCCCGGACTAACGCTTTTCGCTTAACATGAAAGATTATATTGAATCAACTGGTATGTGTGCTGTAAAGAAAGTTGATTCATTGTGTCGTTTTAGATAATTTGCCTCACCACAACCTATCTTAGATATTTATAAGTCTACAATTCGCCCATGCTTTGAATATTGCTGCCACATTTGGTCTGGTTCTCCTCCTATATATTCATAGTTTCTTGATAAAATCCAAAGAAGATTCTGCAACGTTATAGATCCTGACCTGACATCTCGGCTGCAGTCACTTTATCACCGCCGTAATGTAGTTTCCTTGTATCTTTTCTATAGATAATTCCATAGCAACTGTTTCATGAATATTCGTCTAGCGAGGTACTAGATTGGCGACGATTTCTTATCATTCAACACTCGAAATGCTTTGGTGTAACTGTAAGTTCTATGCTAATAGTTTCTTCTCTTGCATTACTTGCATATGGAACTCTCTTCTGGCTTCTTGTCAGTCAACTGTAATCTTCAAAAGTTTTAAGTACAATGCCAATCGTCATTTTCTGTCTCAGTTCCTGTTCTTTTATTTAACTAAGCAGGGGGGACATCCGCTAGACTGCCACCTCCTCCTCACCTATGCTTCATCTTAACTTCGCTCGCTTATAGCAGTAGGATACAATCCAAGAATAAACTATGGTTTACTGCTAGAAATTGTTTTGCTTTTCACTCGTGGGTAACGATCTGGCCGAAGACAATTTTAAGCTACGAGAAAACAATGCTCCCTGTCAACGGACCTAATATCTGGTGTGAGCTGCAACGCAACAGATAGTTTTCCAAGGCATTCCTTTGTATCTCAGAAAATTCTAGATTGCTTCTTTCTGTCTACGCTGTCCAATGTTTTATTATAGGCTATAAATTTGAGGTGGAGTGAGGCGTGTTTCGCTCTGCTCTACAGTGAAACGTATTATGGCCATCTAATCTTCACAGGATCTGTTCCAGCGGAAACCTTCCCGTTGGTCTCATAACCTGCAATCCACAAACCCTGTCATCCTTTATTGAACTTTGTTCAAGAATTTATCAGACATTGACATGGGGAATAATTCTTCTGTAGTTGTAATTATGTAATGGTACCAGTTATTTGGCAATTTGATCAGAGTTTCTTAGTTCCATTCTGTAAGAATATCAGCAGAGTCATTAATATCACTAAAAAGAAAACAATAGAAAGTGGAGAGGTGACCATAAAGCCGCAGTCCGGATTTCTAAGACAAGAGCTGCTAAAGACCTCCACGGAAATGTGTATCATTGTGCATCTTTCACGCCAACGTCAAATCCGTTCTACACTACCGACTTGGAGAACAACTATAGTTTTGCACTAAAGGCTGCACACATTTTTCAACACATGTCTGAGGCGCATTTTCAAAGTCAGATGGCGAAACGAGATCAATAATGAAAAATTGCTGCCAAGAGCATTGCAAAATCTCGTTATCAAGCAAATCTTGTGATGGAAGGGGAGTTGAATAGGACACGCTGTCAGGAAACGAGCGTCCATCTACCACACCCATACCTAGAAGCCAAAGGAAAAAAGAAACGACGGTCACGAAACGCCTGAAGATTTGAAAATGAGAATGAACTTAAGAGATGGAACAACCTGAGAGAAGGAAATAGGAACGCCGAGAATCACGTCGATGAACTCTGCTCCTTTGGAAGTGAAAGCGAAAAAGAACAAAAACAAAAGCCGCGAAAGAAGAACAATGTTAGACGAGCAAAACACACACTTCAGAGTTGCTGAAACATAACTGTATTTTCATGATTCAAATATAAATTCGCAATTAAAACATCATTTAAAGCTTTATTTTGTTTTATTCAAATATACATAATAAATGCGAATGTCAGTGTGTCAGTGTGTTACACTTTTTCAAATTAACTCCTAGACACCGAAGCCCAACATATCAGAACATTCTAAAATAAGATCGACTCCATGAACAAATTAAAAACTTTCCTGGCCGGATCCGGTCCCACAATTCTGAAATTTTGAATTCCTAAGTTTTCATTACTGTGGTTGTTTTCGGATTCCGCCATAATGGCTTCTATTGAGAAAAACAATAGAAGGGACACAACTCTCTAACTTTCAATAGCCTATGTTCAATTTAACTACTGTTCTCAAATTACAGCATTTCAAAATAAAATTGTTGGTGTTTTCAACTTTAGTCCTAGAGGCCGTAGCCCAACTTATCATACCAAATCCGTAAGAAAATTAAAAAAATCCCGAGCCAGATCCAGACCCGCAATCCTAAAATTCTGGATTCCCAAGTTTTTATTACTGAGGTTGTTTACAGCGATTTTTTACGTGATTTTTTGCGACGACTTTTTTGTACAATAACAGTTCTTATAACTTGGAAATAAATTTGGGAACAATCGAAATTACAAAATCCAACGAGAAATTAAATAAGGACCTTTGTACATCAAAGTGTTTTAAATTCTGTGGCGACAGAAGAATTATCTTTGGAAATTTAAAAGCTAAGCTTAAATATTAATGCAATACTTAAATGCAACGATGAAATTTGAGTTCTTCTGCAGTTTATTTTTTGCCGATCGCATCTACACTTTCCTATCTATTGTGATGAAGGCCCAATCAAGATCCCTCCGCAGGAGTTAGCATAAATGCTACCCCATAGGTCAGCTTTTAAACAAGTACATAAAATAATATAGAGCTAAATTTACAAATAAAATTATTCTAACCGTTCATTATTTCTTTTCAAGCATGCAAGAGAAAGACACATAATCTAACATTTTGTTCACATATTAAATACAATTACACTTCGACTGATATCAACATTCATCTTTTCAGTGGAACCGCTCTGATCAATAATATTTTTTAAAATATATTCATTTGAAATTTACGTTTTGTGCTGTCATTTACATTAATACCATCACCTTTCAGGACACGGGGGGGATCATGGTTCACCACGTTTCTTTTACTTTATATTCTGTGAATTTCTATGACTTCAGCAGGATGCCCTTTCTCCTAGACTGGCTTCAGAGCAAGAAAAATGCTTATCTAGCGTCTCGTCTACAGTCACTCTCTCACAGACGCGCCGTCAACTCTCTCTGTCTTTTCTACAAATACTTTCATGGTAATTGCTCTGATGAGCTGCTTTCACTGGTTCCCAGACTCCATGAATTCAAGCGCCCTACGAGACTGGCATCCCGCTCCCACCCTTACACTGTAGAAACTTTTAAATGTAGCCGTCTCTTCTACTCTAATAGCTTCATACCTCGCACCTCTCGCCTGTGGAACACCCTTCCCAATTACTGTTTCCCTGAGAGCTATAATCCCCAACTATTCAAATGTAATGTCAATCGACACCTCCAGTTACTTTGATCTAACCGCTATCCTTCTCCTCATCCTTTCTTCTATCACTCCTATCTGCTCTCGCTCCAAATCTTCTGCAACCCCCTGCATCCTAGTGGCTTCACGCCTTGCTCGGGGCGTAATACTTTAAAAAAAGCATATTAGCTTGAAAACTAGGCCGGATTTTTATTGTTGATAACCGCCATATAAATCAAACATGGCGACGCTGACTACGGTTGTTAGCACCGAATAATTACCTGATTTTGCTAGGGAATTATTTCCAGCACAAAAATTATATCTGATCAATAAATGAACTAAGATATAAAAAAAGCATTTTATTAACTAATATGTCGGTTCCCTCTAATCCGATTTTTTTTCCGTAAAATTCCTTAATGTTTACGCTCTTAATCAGATTCAGTTTGAAGTGCCTATTCTGAAATCGTTCGAGTTAAGTTATATTTCTGCACAGGAAAAATGGTTAGAAAATGGAAGAAATGTAAAAATAATTTCCAGAGAAGTAGAAACCAAGTAAAGGTTCGACGAGTCAGGTTTTGGTGTGAGAATAGAATATAATAAAATACAGGCGCGAATAGAAAGAAGAGTAGATGATAATAATAAAAATAAAGAACACAATATTGTAAAAAAAAAGAAGGGAATTGGAATCTCAAAGGAAAAGACGCGTGCATAAATAATGAAAAGGAAATAAGATAAATTGAGAACCGAAATGAAGATTGATGAACATCTCTGAAGAAAAAAAAAATGACGTATCTTAGGAAGGGTTGATATTTGCTGAATAGCATTTTTTTTTGTATTCCCAGATCAATAGTAAATACCTATGCAGATGATACAATTATTTATGCAAAAATCAAGATAACCTAATCTCTCCAACAGATCGCTTTTCGGATCGAGCTCTAAGAACTCAATAATATAAAATAACTGGCTTGTTTAATATTCTGTGTTTTCTCAACTCCCGATAAACTCGTCCATTCTCAATAAGAATCCATGCTTTTCCCAAGGTTTTTCGTGCGAAAGTAAACGCAATTGTCTAGAATTTAAACTAGGAGTATTACTACAATATCCAGGCTGAAGCTGCGTAACCCACACTTTCCAACCTTGATATAGATCAAAATCATTTATGGTATATTGTGGAGGAGGGAGTTATTTTTCACTATGCAAAATGTTGCAGGCAGAATGGTGCCAGCCTATCTCTGCTCTATAACTAAGTCCATAAAAAAGTTCAGATAAGCACCATTCTTCATTCCCACAAGTTCAGACCCTCACAGCCAGGATATGCTATTCTATTTCCATTGGGTCCCATCATCATCATCACTTCTCCATGTTCCCAATGTAAGATGAACGTTCCACTATGGCAACTTTTTTTCCCAAGAACTGCCACTGTCACACACTTCATTTATCATTGGTCATTTAACAGTAAACTCTGATTGGAGTGGCTCTCGAACCTTGTATGTATGTGGAAAGATTTAGTTTCAAAATTATTATTTGGTGTTTTACTGCCAACGGGTCAGTAATATAACCAAATAATCAATCATGGAATAAAAGTAAAATGAAGAAATAGTCGTAATAGTTAAATAACCCTGCAAATATCGAAAGCAAAAGATTCCGATCTTCCCTACTATTTAATCCATAGAAAATTCAAAATCAGGACTTTTCCAAAATTATTAGCAGAGGTAAACGGAAAAGAATCGACTAGAATCTAGCGCCGGTAATTACAATTCCCGCACCGATAATCTTTACAAGAAAAGACACAGACACACACACAGACACACACACGCACACACATACATATACACATAGATAGATAGAGACATACATACATACATCATACATTAAAAATAAACAGAATGAGATAGATAGATAGATAGATAGATAGATTAAAAATGAACAGAATGAGATAGATAGATACATACATACATACACAAATAGAAAGATGAAACAGACACGACATAGATAGATAGATAGATAGATAGATAGATAGATAGATAGATAGATAGATAGATAGATAGATATGAGTAAACTATGATAAACAGATAATTATCTATATTTATCAATCTGTCTGTGATAGACAACTCCCTCATTCTACTCATATATGTAATAACATACTCAAGATGGTGGCATTCCACACAACTTCGAATAAAAAGTTAGGAATACTGGAAAGAGTGATAACAACTACTGAACTTGTGAAATCATTTTTCATGAAAAATTGTTTTAAGAAAAAGATTTCACACATTTCTTCTGACAGCAGTACTGTCTGCTCAGTCGATACAGGCTGAATTTTTCCTAATAAAGAAATAGCGAATATTACCGTTAAGATAGATAGATAGATAGATAGATAGATAGATAGATAGATAGATATGAACAGATAGATAGATAGATAGATAGATAGATAGATAGATAGATATGAAGAAATAGATAGGTAGATATGAACGGATAGATAGATAGATAGATAGATAGATAGATAGATATGAAGAAATAGATAGGTAGATATGAACTGATAGATAGATAGATAGATAGATAGATAGATAGATAGATAGATAGATATGAAGAAATAGATAGGTAGATATGAACTGATAGATAGATAGATAGATAGATAGATAGATAGATAGATATGAAGAAATAGATAGGTAGATATGAACTGATAGATAGATATATAGATAGATAGATAGATAGATAGATAGATATGAAGAAATAGATAGGTAGATATGAACAGATAGATAGATAGATAGATAGATAGATAGATAGATAGATAGATAGATAGATAGATATGAAGAAATAGATAGGTAGATATGAACGGATAGATAGATAGATAGATAGATAGATAGATAGATAGATATGAAGAAATAGATAGGTAGATATGAACTGATAGATAGATAGATAGATAGATAGATAGATAGATATGAACAAAAAAGTTAGATATAAATAGATATGAACAGAATTAGATATGAACAGAGATAAATATAGATATACATACATACATACATACATACATACATACATACATATCAATTTCTAAAGAAATAATTGATTTTTATTTATTAACCCGACGTATTTTTGTTCTTTTAAACGTTATTTTAATGGATACTCATAATTAAACACGCTTGGTTTATTTTTTAATCTATATTTTATTTTGTCTACCGGCTTGTACATTTCTCTAAGATTTATTGAATGTTCAGGCTGTAGACGAAATGAAATTTTTAAAAAATAAATGGTGCGTCTACTCACATATGGATATCCATTGACAATAACATTTAGTGTAATATATGCATATCAGTAAGTCAGTAGCTCAAGGATGAAAAATCATTGTACACAACAAATATTTATTTTCAGCCTAGTTTCCTGTCACTGAACTTAATTTAATTATTAATCACCTATCTTGCAATACATGTCAAATTGGAAAATGCCGAAAAAAAACTATCAATTTAAAAGCAAAAGTTCGATTAGCAAACAATTCACTGTTGATTTCCATGAGCTTCAATAATTCTTTCGTAATTTTATCTGTTTGTGTGATGCAAAATGTCCTCTTGCAAAAATATTCTTGCAGCGCCGCCAGCAAATGAACATTCTACAGGCTAGATACCGATTTCATTAATATTTACTAGATTTACCTGATAACATGCTCAACGACGTTCACCAAAACAGTCTGTAGGGATTGAAAGGGCATTTATCTCCATTTTGAATTTACGAGGGTCACGTGACGACCATTCAGCTTGGGTGAGGAAACATAGTTGCTGAATAAACCGCGAGGAAGCAAGACATGATTTCCTGCCGCGGTTAGGAAAACGGATGAAAACCACGAGCTCCCAAAAAAGAAACACAAAGACATGGTCGTTTTACCTTAAGAAAATATTCCAAATGAAACCCTTTCGTTTTCACATTCATACGGCTTGTTTTATGCATATGTGTTATAGTTTTTATTTGGGGGGAAAATCGTATATTTATATATAATTTTTTGTATGATATATCTTTATATAAAATCTCAGTGGGTACAATACATATATTTCATTACTTTTTTAGCGGCTCTAGTCCATACTTCCTTTGTGCCGTTAGTATATCGTGTATATACTAATACCTATGTTGGACTATTGGAAACTAGAAATAAAATTTATCTTTCGGTGGGTTATTCAGAAAGGGTATAATTTATTTAATATTAAACGTCTTGAGTTTTTAGAAGTAAAGGAAAGGCAAAGATGTAAACTTAATTTTCGTAAGAAAATTATTAATTACATTTTCTTAGAAAAGATTTCCCCATCATATATATATATATATACACACATGTATATATATATATATATATATATATATATATATATATATATATATATATATATATATACATACATAATTGATATTAAAGGATGTGAGAAATGTGGTATAACTGTTTAAATTTCATCGATACAAGAAAGGTTATTCGTGAGTATGAATGGATTTTGTTAAAATTAGCAAAAAATAATGTCTGCAATTTATTCAATCAGACATGCCTAAAAGAGAATTTGCGGCCTAAATACAAACACACACACACACACACACACACACATATATATATATATATATATATATATATATATAGTCATCCACATACAGACTGTTCCGCTGTATCTCTGCTCATCAGTGTGTCTAGACCTCCGAGTTCCTCAAACCAGGATCGAAATCAGACCGATTTGTCATCAGTCGAAGATTTTTCCACGAAGCTATCGGCTTAGGAGAAGGTGAATTTTTACGTATTTATTTTCAATAAACATGCCAGTGACTCAGTGCATATCCTGCATCACCACTGGCAGAATAAACCGTAGTTAGATCCATCTCGCTCACGTCGTATGTCGATGATCAAGTTGTAGAGCGCCTTACAAGAGCAAATCTTTCACAGACTTTCGAAACATTCATTTCTCTTTCGCATCCTAACGTAAAGAAAGCAATTTCTAAAAATTTATGGAGTTTAACATACTAATCCGACCGATTTTATTATTTAAGCGTTATTTTTAATGGATGCCCATATTTGAGTAAACGCTTCGTTTATTCATTTAAATAATATATTTACATATTTTCGTCTACCGGTTTGAATATTCGAGATATCTTATTAAATAAAACTATGCCGGAGAGTGCATATTTTTCATCTCAAGATTTTGAAGGATTGCCAGTATTGGAATCATACTTATTATAAAACCCAGGTTGTGTGTGTGTGTGTGTGTGTGTGTGTGTGTGTGTGTGTGTCTGTACGTTTATATATTGGATCGGATTTCCTACATTTTTCAACCGATTTCAACAAAACTTCACAGGACTACATAAAATTACCATGCGGTGGTTCTGAAGGCACCAAAAATTGGAAAGACACAACTGTTTTTGCACGAAATCATTTTCCAAGAATGAAAGGGGGACAACTCATATCGAGTTATACTTATTATAAAACCCAGGTTGTGCGTGTGTTCGTTTATATATGGGATCGGATTTCCTACATTTTTCAACCGATTTCAACAAAACTTCACTTTTTTTTGGCAGGTAGTGTTTCTTATTGTCTTGCACGCTTTTTTCTTTATTTTTATATTCAGAATGCTTTAAAAATTCCATTTACAAGATAATTGTTTATAATAAAATTCTATTCAATCGGTAGACTCATAACGATTGAAAACAATGTTTTTCTTTGAGTTTGGGTTTGACCAATTCGTAAAAAAAAAAAACTAATTAAGACATGCATGTCCGTCAACCTTAAACAATAATCTTTGTCAGTTTTATTTTTCAGTCTTTATGATGGTCGATACTTGATCTATCTCTTACTATTACATCCCCGGACAACGCCGGGCTCTACTGCTACTCATTTCTATACCTCAACATCATATTTTCTGAAGAATTTCTCAGTGAGAGGAAGGAGATGAGACTTTTCTTTAAATATTTATCTCATATTCCCTGTACAGATGTAGGTAAGTTTTCAAGTATTTCTTTTAGATATTTCTTTTCTCAGTTTGATTAATTTGGGGAAGTGTTTATCGATTATCTTGATGAATATTTTATCAATATTTGTTTTTACATTTTTATTACAGCGTGAGTTCAGTTCCTTAATATTGATTTCGAATCAGATTTTTTTTTTCGAAATGTTATAATTCATTTTCTGCTTTTATCTTTCATTTGCTTTCTTCACATCAATTCGTCGGCGAAATAAGATTCGAATCAAAATAAAGACAGATACTAATAACAATAAATTACATAGATTTTGACTTTTACATCCAAAAAAAAAATATATATATATATATATATATATATATATATATATATATATATCAACCTTCGGAAAACCAAACGACATTCCAGAAAAATTCCCCATTCCATCCACCTACCGTAATCAATTACATCCAACAATACTTCATCCTCAAATAATCTAACAACTTGCCAAAAGATAAGACTTTTAACAGACAACCTAGGACAAAATATCACTAAAAATCAATGCTTTTTTCAGCAAAAGTATAATTTACACGAAACAGAATGAAAAGGGTAACGGCAAGAGAAGTATTATATAGGTAGAAATTTTTTACCACCTCTTAGTCAATACCTCTAAAATCAGACAAACTATGCAAAATACTTAGAACTTACATACAACAGCACCGAAAAATAAAATATAAAATAAAAAATAGAATATTTGAATAAACAACTTCAGAGTCAGGACTGTAAATACCCTAAATTATTATCCTTAAAGGTAAGAACAGGAAAGGGTCAGTTTACCGCCCATTGTCACATATCTCCGAATGACTTACAAATGGGGTTTGCACAAGGAGCAGTAACAATTACCATGTCGTCTTCATTTCTACGCTCACTCTACTATAGGTATCTACAATATATATATATAAATACAAAAGTGAACATAGAAGTCAACACATAGAGGCGACAGTCTGTTTCATGCTATATATATAACGATTTATCCATCTATCTATTTATATTATAGACAGAGCCTTTACTTAGCTATTTGTATCTATAAACAGAATGTTAAACATAAAAATGTCTTAAAATAATTGTCGGACTTTGTCCATTTCATAATGGATGACGTCATTTGTTTACATTTGATACGCCATGAGCAGATATGAATGTACGTGAGAGATTCATAGAAGATTGAAGTTCAAATAGAGTACTTTCGACTTTGCTAACCGACCGCTCCGTTTTGTGGTCAAATCGGTAAAGGCACGTCAAGATAAATGACGGTTCCGTTT